AGGTAATTTATTAGTGTCTTTGTAAGTACTTTTTTAGTTTTAAAGCATACTCTATGGTCCCTTTTACTACAAAACATTGAAAATTAGAGATAAAGATTGTGATTATAATTGAGAAAAATCATTAAAAAAGTATTTAACATGAGTAATTGTTTGTTATATCGGATTAGGCAAATCCATTGGGAAATGAGAAATATTACCTCCTCTTATGGTATTCTCTAATCTTATATATATAGGTTTATCCAATCCCATGTAATAAAAAATATTTTATACTAAATACTCTTTTAATATACTTTCTCAATCTCAATACTAATCTTTACCTTTTATTTTTAATGCTTCATATCAAATGGGATCTATATATCCAACTCTCCTAAATTTATTGTGTATGAAAGAAATTAAAATAACAATTGATAACCTCTTCATGGTACAGTTCCTTAGTTGGTCAGAATGATGGCCAAAGACACTTTACCGATAAATCACATGATAAAAGTTTGGTAATATTATGCTTTTCTTTACCATAAAAGCTACGTGTTTTCAAAATGTTTGCGCCATGTTTATATTTTTTTTTGAAGACAGCCAATTTCAATCAAACTTCGCTGCTTTCCCCAGTAAATCCACAGGCGCCGTATGTCTAGTCAAACGTTTCAAACTTTTTTCTCCTGGGTTCTAGCCATCTTTACCACCGGGGCCAAAAGTGTCAAACTTTTCAGCATTATAATGTTTGGGAGTTGGGACAATGTTCTTATGTGCTTTTTCCCACAGAAATATACCTCAATCTTTGCTGGGCCCTTCCCCCCGGGCACTTTTTTTTCTTTTTCTTTTTGAGTGAATCCCCCCCGGGGGGCACTTTGAGAACAATAGATGGATTTTTAGGGGAAAAAATAAATATAAAAAAGCATGAGAGAGAGAGTGTGTGTGTCCAATTTCTCATCCTCTGAAACATGAATAATTGCACAAAAGATGGATTAGATTTTTGCGGATACTTATGATATTCTATTATGAAAAATATATAACAAATTCTCGAAGAATCAACCTAATGTTTTGTTATTAAAATGACACATTAGTTTGTACTATTCCGGTACTAAATATAATATCTATTTTGTTGTGTAATTTACACCACAAAATGGGTCTTATATTTAGAATCGAAGAACTATATTTTTTCTACCTTTCTATCATATTTTAATTAAATTTTTAAAACTTTTTTTTTAAAAAAATGCTCCTTATATCATAAATATGTGGTGCCAATTAATCCTTCCCTGCATGTATGACAAGTTTATTACTTAGGGGAAATCCCCTGGCCGCCATGTAGAATTTGAATGGTCCCTCCTCCTTTTGAAAGCAGAATCCCACGTGTCGTCGTTGACGGCAATTGTGCCAGCTCCACTTGCAAATTACAACTTTTGTCACATGGCTTCTTGCTTGGCTCACTGCAGAGTTTTGTCGCTTATCCCTTGACCTGCTTGTCTATTTTGTCACATGCATGCATGAGTTAATTATATGTGTGTATTTGTGTAGATATCTTCCTTTCCCTTGGTTTGATATACTCCTAATGTTTATCTATTACAAACTAAATTTTATATTAAGAACCAGATATAATTACTATCCACGTGTCATTTATCAACGTTTTGCTCAAAACAGACGAAAAAGAGCTTTTAGAACAAACGAAAATAACATATTTTGTAGTAGTGAATATATATATTTCTATCACCTGAAAATATATATACTCTTACAATCCCAAATATAAGACTTATTTTAGAGTACAAAATAAATATAAAATGATTATTACATTTAGTGTCAGAGACAACATTTACTTTGTCTGTGTGCAGGCATGCTCTTGTTCTCATTTACTAGCAGTACGTCCTGTTTGCTGCAGAATGTTTTCTGATGTGGTCACTTCACTTGCAGCCATGCGTTTTTATACCGGCCGCCACCCTTATATCTGATACTCCCTCCGTTCCTTATTATAAGAGACAAATAACCGAATTACGTTGATAAAAAAACAGTTAAAATTAGTTAAGAACAATCAATGTGTAAAAAGTATAATTTTTTTTCCAAAAATACCCTCATTAATAAGGAGAGAGAACAATGGTAAATTATTAAAAGAAAGAGAAGTGGGAAAGAGAGAGAGTGTGAGTTGGAGACAATAAATATGGGTAAAATAGGAAATCAACACAAAAAAGTAGAGACAACTTTTAAGTGTCTCTTATATATAGGAACATGCCATAAGCATCAAATGTCTCTTATAATAAGGAACGGAGGGAGTATAATATTAGTTTGAATAAGTTAACAAAAATTACAAATACATGCACATGAATTGGATAATTGCATGCTTAATAACACTTATGCTTGCAGCTCGCCAATAGCAACCCAAACCTTCTTTGTGAGTTTCATATATACCTCACTTTGCTAAAATAGGGGCAGGAGTGTGGGTCCCCTTCCTATAGGAGGAGATAGTGTTAAATTATATTTCTCCGCCGGACAAGGGATATTATGGTAGCAGTCCTTATTATGGACTTTAGAAAGCTAGTCTCCCGTCGTCTTTCACATGAAACTAGAATATATGATACCTTATCAGGTTAACAAAATCAAGGCCCTATATGAATTGGACAATAGGGAATCATCAATGATATGCTACCTCATGTCTTAACTGTAAGATTTTATTTATAGAGTATAAATAAGATCTTATAATTAAAACCAAAAGTGCTAACTGCATGCACGTCTCTGCTTTTGAATATAGACTACCACACACACACAAACACGCACGGGGCACGGGAATAACCTCATTCCGCTTATGGCGTCCAATATAATAAAACTCATGTATATTATATAAAACTTTTTTTTTTTTTTTCAGAATTTGCGATCAATTTGGATTAAATTTTTTGTAGCTGTATTTGTTAAGAAACCAATTTCTAGAGCTAACATGTTGATGTTATTACTTCCGGTCCTAATTATAAGAGCTAGTTGACTAATTTGAGGAGATTAAGGAAGTAAGTTGAGTTAGTTATTTGTCCTAAATAGGTGTTATCTTTCTTAAAATATCCCTGCTAATCAAGTGTATTGACTAGAACTATTATTGTTAGAATGGCTATTTTGGAAAAAAATGTATAAATATGAGAGAGAAAGTGGATTGAGTTCTTATATTTAGGACCAAAATAAAAGTCAAACAAGATCTTATATTAAAGACCGAAGGTAGTATTTTTTAGCAATAGTCAACGCCCTAATCTGATTTGTGCTGTACGTAGAGCAACATTGTATTATTTTTCCATATTACTCCTCCGGTCCTTATTATAAGACCCAATTTGACTTTTTATTTGGTCCTAATTATAAGACCCAATCCATTTTGTCTCTTATATTTATGCATTTTTTTTCCAAGATAATCCTTCTAATAATGATAGTTTTAGCCAATATACTTAATTAGCAAGAATATTTTAGGAATGACAACACTTATTTATTATAAATAACCAACTTAACTTACTTCCTTAATCTCCTCAAATAAGTCAATTGGGTCTTATAATTAGGACCGGAGGAGTATTTTTTTAGTTACATGTAACGGGTATATTATAAACTATACTACTCAAAAAATTATAATTATAAATTATAAATAATCCAATTTTTATAATTTATTATTATTTACAACTATTTCTAAGAGAGGGAGAGAAGAAATTTTTTGGTCATATTTATAAAGCATTAAGAGAAATTTTTTGTATAAATATGCAGTTTTACCTTTTATTTATTATTATATTGACTTTGTTTACATTAAGTATAATATATATTAAATATGGATAAAGTTGAAAAGTTGTTAAATTTTAAACGAGAGTTAATAAAGTTTAATATTTTTTTTCAGTCAGTATTAAACATGTTAAAAAATACTACCTCCGGTACTTAATATAAGATCTTATTTGATTTTGATTTTGATCCTAAATATACAACCCCAATCCACTTTATCTCTCATATTTATACATTTTTTTTTCAAAATAGTCTTTCTAACAATGATAGTTCTAGTCAAGACACTTGATTAGCAGGAATATTTTAAGAAAGATAACACATATTTAGGACAAATAACTAATTCAATTTACTTCCTTAATCTCCTCAAATTAGTCAACTGACTCTTATAATTAGGACTGGAAGTAGTAATTTATAAATAAAATTAGAGTAGCATATTATTACAAAGGAACTTCCATGTTGAGTACAGTGGATGGAGGCGTTTTTGCGCAACTTTATTTAAGGGTGTGTTTGGATGAAACCAAACCGTGGTTTGGAAAAGTGATTCTGGAGAATAGATTCTGGAAAAAATAGATTCTGTGAAGAATAGATTTTGTAAAAAAGTGATTCTGAGAAGTGAGAGTGTTTGGATAGTTGTTATCAGAAGCATTTTTTATATATAAAAATTACTAAAAAAAAGACATAAGTTAATATGATAATTACAGAAAAAATAGATTTTATGATATATTTTAATTTGAAGAAATAAAATTGTTAATAATATGTTTTTTACCAACATAATTAATAATACATAAGATAATATAATTAATAAATAATTAATGTCTATATATATTTATAAAATATAAGATTAAATATATTTATAAAAAAATATGTTTATAAAAAAAATATGTTTAAAAAAAAATAATAAGATACATATCATATAGGCCCTCACACTCTCCCTTTTTTCTTTAAAAGTAAAAAATTTTTGCTTTTTTCAAAACCATGGTTTTGGAATCAAAACCATGGTTTTGACCCAAAACCATGGTTTTGGTTTTTGGAGAGGCTGTTTGGGTAGCATTTTCCCCAAACCATGGTTTGGGTCCCCAAACCATAGTTTGGGGTGCTATCCAAACAGAGCCTTAAAAGACAAGTCAGGACTTGCGATTGCGAGTTACGAGTACGAGACGTGTATTTAGTTTCATCGGTAAATTGCTCTCTCCCGGTCTTCAAGGTTTCAGCTGAAGAGTCTTCGGTGTCAACTGCATGTTCATTGTATAATTACACGACCATTCTATTCCATATTTTCATACGCCGCTCACTATGTTAATGTTATTAATTCTCCGCCATTCGCATTCTGCTGAAAGGATTTCTCACCCTCTCCCAATTTCTTTATCTCACTGTCCGTAATCCTTTCACTCTAACCCGTTTTTAAACTCGTGCTGTTGAACACCTCGGAGATTGGCTTGGTGAACCAGAAACAGGTGACGACGACGACCCTAGATTTTCTGGACAGAACCTTCTCTTGTTCAAGTGTCAACTGATTTTATGGAAGACTGCTGTCGTGGTGTTTCTATACTTTGCTTCGTACAATGTGTTTGGAATTCACCTGAATGAAGTAGCTTCCATGGCCAGCGTTTCACCCAATACCCTCCTAAGTTTCCTCCCTACTCTGTGGCAATTGTGCTGCTTCTATTTTTCTGCGTTTAATTTATGAGAGCGAAATTTGCAACTCCATGGCCTAAGTGTCATGGCACCCCCTAATTGGTAGGGTATGCGTTCTTCTTGTCCATCTATACTCTTTCAATTTATTTATGAACCTTTCGGGTTTTAAATTTCGGTGAGTGGATTATGTTCGTCTATGGTTCTCTAATTTTCGCGTTCCTTTCTACTCTGTGTTTAGATCCATTAGTTTACGCTCTGTTCTATTAGACACTGAGTTGGTTATGCTTTAGAATTCTGTTTGTCTACTGTATTTCGTATAAAGTTAATCTCCTTAACAAAATGCAGGCGAGGAAGTTGCTCCGAGGACTTGGGTACGGTTTGGTGACATTGATATTCCCCGGTTCGCTTCCAGAGTGAGCGTATGCCTGGGAATAAGTATAACGGTAATCCAAATCATTTTCCAGGTCGTGTTGAACGACTTGTCCGAGAAAGAGAACTAAGAAAAATCACCAGGGCTTCTCATTTCAATGAGTCAGCTGATAATAATAATAGGGTTACTAAACCGTTTGAGCATAACCTGCGTTCAAGAGAAGATAATAACTCAGGAACTTCTAATGCGCAATACCTGGAGGCAACTGCAAGGGGTCTTTATCAGGGACGTGAAAGCCAAGATGGGAGGCCTTATAGACTTTTGGTGGTGGCCAACAGGCTGCCAGTCTCAGCAGTTAGGAGAGGCGAAGATTCATGGTCTCTGGAGATTAGTGCTGGAGGTCTAGTTACCGCTCTTTTAGGTACGTAATTATATGAATAATCCTGTCCCTAATGCATTTTTTCTTCACAGCAACATCCCCCAATTCCCCCCCCCCCCCAAAAAAAAAAAATTGTAAGTAGTATTCACTGAAGTTGCATATGATTCTACAACTCTCTGTTTAAGACGGTTTATCATGTTCGGCATTGGTTTATTTAAACTGAAATATGACTGCCTTATTCAACCAAGGTGTGAAGGAGTTTGAGGCAAGGTGGATAGGGTGGGCTGGTGTCAACGTGCCAGACGAGATTGGACAGAAGGCACTTACTAAAGCTTTGGCTGAAAAGGTACAAAACCCCCTGCACTAGAAAATTTCTGTTGTGTGTATGTTTAATATCCCATCCTTTGCTCTGCATTGTTTATTATGAATTATGTTCTCCTCTTCTTACCTACATTGCAGAGGTGCATTCCAGTGTTTCTTGATGAAGAGATTGTTCACCAATATTATAATGGTTACTGCAATAACATCTTGTGGCCCCTTTTTCATTACCTTGGACTACCCCAAGAAGATCGCCTTGCTACTACACGGAGCTTCCAGTCTCAGTTTGCAGCATACAAGAAAGCAAACCAAATGTTTGCTGATGTCGTGAACGAGCACTACGAAGAGGGTGATGTTGTTTGGTGCCATGACTACCATCTCATGTTTCTTCCAAAATGTTTAAAGGAATATAACAATAAAATGAAAGTTGGCTGGTTTCTTCACACGCCATTTCCATCTTCTGAAATTCATAGGACATTACCATCACGTTCAGAGCTCCTTCATTCTGTTCTTGCTGCTGATTTAGTAGGGTATGTTGCAATATGCTCCTATGACTTGGAATGAGGCTCATTAAGGATGGTCTGACTCTATGTTTGAACGTCCTTTAATTAAAGTAAATGTGATAAATATGTGCATGCTTGTTTTGGACTATCAATGATTTATGAGACCTTTGGACAAAACAGTTTTGGAAGTTATACAATATCTTGTCCATCCAACTCAAACTATTTGTCAACAAGGATCCGATATATGGTTGTTGCTATATTATGTATGTTAAGATTTATATTCCAGTATGGTCATTGCTTCTGATATGTGCAATTGTAATTTCTTTCAAACAGATTTCACACCTATGATTATGCCCGCCATTTTGTTAGTGCCTGTACTCGCATTCTTGGACTTGAGGGCACTCCTGAAGGGGTTGAGGACCAGGGGAGATTGACTCGAGTTGCTGCAGTAAGTGCCTGTATTTTTTTATCAATAAAATCAGCATTACATTTTATTATGCATAGCACTTTGACATTACTTATTGGAATTCTGCTCTAAAACTCATCCATGAGAAGAAGAAACTGTGGGGAAAAGGAAAGAAAAGCTTTTTAAATGTTCATCTTTAACTTAGGTCTTTTACCTTTTACCATGACTATTCTGACAACTTGCTTGTGTATTTCTTGTGCATTTGAATTTAAGTTTCCAATTGGGATAGACTCTGATCGATTCAGACGTGCCCTTGAGCTTACTGAAGTGAAGAATGATATCAAAGAATTGGAAGAAAGATTTGAGGGTAGAAAGGTATATGTAATTCTTTGTAGTGAATATCCATATGATTTTCTGATGTTGACTGACATATTAATCCTACTAACTTTGAAAATTTTTGAGTTATTTTGCACGACTTTTTTTTTTCCTTTCTTTTTTGGATGAATTATGGCTTTTAGGTTCATGTCAGTGTTGAACAGTGTTATACCACTCAATATTTTACACAAAATATATATATATACACATTATGCTTTTGGTTAGAGGACATGGTGTCAAGGAAGGGCAACCATTGTTGCCACAGTCTAATCTTATGAAAGCATGGGAAACTTCTAAGTGACCTCAGAATCCTCTTTCTTTAAACAGCGTAGAAGTAACCCACTAAGCCATAGTTGCTCATCACTATGGAACTATAATATCGTTACCATCAGCATATAATGAAGCTTTTTTTAATTATTAGTATGCTCAAAATTTACCGTATTTGATATGTTTGAGTTTCTAACATCTGAGTTATTTAGTTGCCGTGGATCAATTTTTTATTTTTTATTTTTGTGGAGTATTTTAGCTATTATTATTTCCTTTGGTTGTGAAGTGTTGTTTTTAGGAGTATTTGTTGTTCTGTTATTTTCTAGTAGATATCAAGTAAAATAAGCTTTTAGGGGTAACAACTATGCATATAAAAATCAGTGCTTCCTCTTTAAAACTAGTTTTCCTATTGTTAATTCCAAAGGGCTGATGGGTCAGATGGCAATCTGTCACCTGTCATCTCTTAATCAGAGGTTCTATGAATCAGTCTAATTGCCAGGGTTCTCACTATCAATTTTTGGCAAGTATATGCCACGTTATCACTGTGAGATATTCAATGAGTAAAGTGCTTTTGTAGTTATACATGCACTGAAAACGTAGAAATATATTTTACCCAAAAAAAAAAAAGGTAGAAATATATTATTCACTCATTGGACACTCCTTACACCTTCATCTTCCTCTATTTATGTTAATCCCTAACTAACTTCCTTCCTTAGCCACCCTTAAACCCTACACAATGGTATGTCTATCAAATTTACGTTGCTTTCTTCAAAGAAAACATGCTTTCAAAGATGTTTCTTTCGCTACATAAGTTTTGTTTGTTAACACGAAGCTTCATGTTATTCTGTTTTAGTTCATTTGAGCATGATTAAATTTAATTTAGTACATTCTTTTGACTTATTAACATTTTCATGGCATGACAGGTAATGTTAGGTGTTGATCGCCTTGATATGATTAAAGGGATTCCCCAGAAAATTCTAGCATTTGAAAAGTTTTTGGAAGAGAATGCTTATTGGCGTGATAAAGTAGTTTTGCTTCAAATTGCTGTGCCAACAAGAACAGATGTTCCTGAGTGTATGCTCATGTTACTTTTCCTTTTGAGCCTTCTACAGTATAAAAGTTCACAAAATAGGCTTATCTTTTACAATATTGCTCATGTCCTATAAGGGGCAGATTGATATTTCCTAAGCTGCCTATTATAATATGTTGGAGATATGCTATGACATGAAACGTATGTAAAATTGCTTCTCTGGCAAGACTGAAAAACTAGCACTGAGTTGAAAGTTGATACTTAGATACTGAAATGACTGAGTCTATCTTTTGTGAACTCAAGAGTTCTGCTGGTTTATTTGACATAAATAACATGGTGCTAACACAAGTTTTGAGGTAAAAATAGCGTGGGCTGTGGGTAGTGACTAAGGGTTCAATCCCTCTCAACGTACCAAGAACAAAAGCGCTTCAGGTATTTTAGAACTGAATTGGGAATATTTGGCTGCTTTATTATAAAAGAAACATTATTTCTGAGAAGGTTCTTTTGGCATTCTCAATTACCATAAGGCCGTTTTTGGTAGAGGGGAATCAGAGTTAGAGAAAGGGATTGAGTTAGGGAAAGTAACTTTTCTCCTATTTGGTAGGCATCAGAGCACTTTCTTCGGGAATATTGCATTCGACTGACGGCTGGTCATCCTACCTTTTTTACCATGTCTTTTTTTTTTGATTGAGAT